CTGTCCTTCACGCACCACTTTACAGTTTAGTCCGTCTCATGGATTCGCTATGATGGTAACGATCTTCTCAGCTACTAACACCAGAGTGTCGAAGGAGGTTCCATAATGTGGTTGAATCCACACTTTTAAATGCTTGGTTTCTTCGGTTGTTGGTAGGGTAACATCTGTAGGACGTTTTGCTTGCGCTGACTTTATGTCCGATGGGCTCAGTGGGTCTTGTCTATTCAGGAGTTCTTCAAAGTAGTCTACTCGTCCATTTCGCTGTTCTTGAATCTCAGTGACTGGCTTTCCCTCTTTGTTTTTGACTGGTCGCTCTGGTTTACAATATTTCCCTTCGAGTTTCTTCGTTGTATCATATAATTGTTTCATATTTCCTTCTGTTGCAGCTTCTTCCTATGTCATCACTATCTCTCCTAGATATTTCTACTTGTCGGTTCTAATGCTCCTCTTTACTCTTTTGTTTCCTTCTGTGTACTCTGTCAGTGCCTTGGCCTTCTCTGCTCCTGTTCGGATGATGTCGACTGGTGACTTCTTATTCTTCCCTTCTTGAATCTTGTCTAGGGTTTCGATAGAGACCCATTGTATATAATGGTGTTTTTGAGATCCAGAACTGCTGGGGTTGAAGCTATCACGAGATCACTTAATCTGCGAACGAGAAACAAGACTCGGTGACCAAAGACCAGTAAGCTAGCTACTGATGCGTCTCAGCCCCGCTAACCAGAGGGAGAAGTCCAAGCTTGGAATGGGGAAGTATATTCTGCAAACAGCCAGAAACGAGCGATAACAACAAACACAATTCAAAACGTATATATACATTACATACATACATTACATACATTACATACCAAAAAGACGCAACGGACCAATAGAATTTAAGATATTTCCCAGTGTGAAATACGACATGAAAGTGACAAGAGCGCCTTTGGCGCGAAAACAAAGAAATTCAAAATTTCTAAATAAAATTACAAAATTGGGTCCTTTCCCAAGTGAGCTCTGGGGATCTAACGTATCCAAGAAGAACCTCCTGTAATGTATAGGTTGGTGCCTTATTAACCCCTTTCCAGTTATCCTCAGTATCAGCTTCTTCGAATAGATCTTGTAAGGTTTGGAACCTATTGTTGAGAGCTGTTTTCAATTTGTTGAGTTTGTTAGTATCTCGTAGGAAGGTTGTATTGAACCTTTTTATTGCTGTTTGTCCAGTTGTTCTATGCTTCTTTAGCTTCAGTTTCATCTTGGTAACCACCAGTTGGTAGTGATTTGAAGCTATGTCAGCTCCTCTCCTGGTTCTCACGTCTCCCATTGATCTTCTGGATTCTTATTGATGCAAATGTGATCGATCCAGATTTATTAAGTGTGGTCCAGTGCGGCAGACGTAGCTTTGTATATGCATTCGTATGGGAATATTATGCAGCCCATAACCAATTTGTTGAATGTACATAAATTTCTAAATTTCTCACCATTCCCATTCCTTTCTCTTAGTCAGTCCATGTCGTCCCATGATATATTCATACCTGATTTTGTCCATCCCGACTTTGAAGTTTAGCTTTCCCACCAGGATTATCAGGTCTTTTCCTGGTCACTTCACTATGACTGATTGCAGACTCTTGTAAATTTGATCTTCATCGCTATCATCGATGGACGCATAACATTGGATAACATTCATTGTAATTCCCTCCTTCTTTGTTTTGAAGGACGCTTCAATGATCCTGGATCCATAAAATTTCCATTCTCTGAGTGCATTCCGTGCATGTTCAAACAGCATCAGAGCAACTCACTGAGTGTGCAGAGCATTTTATGATCAGAGTACAATAGCACTCCTGAACGAATCCAACAAATGACTTCTCTTCCATCTAATTTTGTAAATGCATTTTAGTTACTCATAAGTAATGTAAAATAATAACCTCAATTTTTACGCTCTGAAGAAGTGACTTACGCTAAGTCACGAAACGTCAGAAAATCCAATTTTCTACTCATTGGGATATTACAAATATATTATTTTTACTTATTTTTTTGAGTTATATATTATTATGGTGCCTATTAAAATCAAAATTGTGAATAAAATGAAACAATCTCCTCAAACCTTCAATAATTTTCAATTTAGTAAAATTGTTCGGAACTGATTCGAAACTAGGACCATATACTTTGTCATCCATTGTTCTTATTACGATAGAGTGCATTGTCTAGTACAAGTCAATTTAAGGTTACATTCAGAGTATAATTAAAAGTATTTTGAGTATGTGGAAAACCTTAGTAACATACTTATCCATAAGCTGATTGGCTAACTTTTATAAATACTTATGAAATTTGTGAATTGCATTCCTGAAAATTCAAGCGAAACCAACTTCAATCAATTTAAATGTTCCGAATCAAAGAATATTTAAATGAACTTTGTTTTCAATGACTATGATCCTCCTGATTATAGTTCATCTCAATTTCAACATTTCATCTTATTGTAACTTAGCCTTCCTTTCCCAATTATAATTTCCCCAACAACAACCCTAATAAAAAAACTAACGTTTAATGCCTTTGTTTATTGGACCCCACTGTTATGATGTTTAACAGAATTTTGTTATCACCAGTATTGTAATTATTATCATTTTGAAGAAGAAGTATATATCTGCGATTGTACAGCTTCGAAAATGAAGTCACTGAAAAGCGAACTCCTTACCAAACTGACCTTTCTTATTTTATGACTCTGGTTATATTCCGTTTACTTCAATAACTTCGTGATCCGACTCTACAGTTTTAAGTCCATAGTTATTGTTATTTTACAAAGACTTAAATAAGGTATGCTAGTGTAATGAACAATGTCATATGTTGAAAATGATAGACGTTCGTGTCTGTTACGGCTTAAATGTTTTAAATTATGTCGTTTGTAATCTGGAAGAATGGTGTCAAGGTCAACGGTCAGAATGATTCGTCGCAAGGTGTCGAGTACTAGTCAACATGATATTATCGGTATAGGGTTGTGGAGATAGATGAGTTTTGATTGTGGTCATGAATCGATCATGATTAAACCACCACTAGAAACCTAGAAGCACTGAGTGGCCGTTTCATCCTAGTATGGGACTCCTCAGAGGTGCACATCCACGATCCATCACCTGAGGCTCGAACCCAAGACCTTCGGTCTCACGCGCGAACGCTCAACCTCTAGACCTATATAATGTTAATAAAATAAACCACGTGAATAAAATTCATATTAGGAGAACTGGTGAGACTACAATTTATGGACAAACCAATCACATTTAAGATAGCTGATCTTGGATTTGGCACGAAGCTCATTCACTCTTTTGGCCATATACCATTTTGACATTTTATTTGATGTCAGTTCATGATGAAAACATTAAATCTAATTCCTAACCCTAACATTCAACTGCAAATCCTAATCCTAATTTTTTCACACTAATTTATAACTCTCATTTAATCCTGGTAAATAGACGAACATTCCAAGGTCATTTTGGCATTGCCAAAAGGTTGTCTATAAATTATAGTCTTACCGGAGAATTTCGCCTGGCTAGTGGAGATAATAATAACAATAAAAATGAAGTCGTGTGAATACAATATGTAATAAGTGAAATGTAATCTAGGTAATTATGATAAGAAATACATGTGAATTGGGAAAGATAAGTGTGTAGATTGAGGAGGTAGAACAGATATTAACAAAAAAGTAATTGGTAGTGGGGGTAAGGGATCGATAACACGACCAAACCATCCTGCTCAGAAAACAAAACCACCTAAATCATCCATCTAAGCTATAAATCTTCATCATCTCGGATAAACTTAATCATTTTTAACATATGACACTGTTTAATTCATTATTAATGACTTAATTCAACATTATGTCTTAGTTCCAGCATTCCTTACTTCGGTTTTTGTAAAATAACGCAATAACTATGGAGTTATTGAAAGCAATTGTTGATTTAAATACTCTTTTTTTTCAATTTATATATGAAACTTCGTCTGTTGGCAGCCTTAACAAAGCAAATCATTTGATTAAAAGTGATATTTAATAATGTATTCCAGCAACAATTCTTATAGTTTGAGCGTAGGCATTTCAAATTCGACATGTTATCTCGTGTGTAGTTTAATCCACGAATAAAAAATTAGCCATTATTTCCTGTTCTTGATGTATGTAATGGTTAAAACTTATGAGACTTTAAGACGTTTTAGAAAAATTCGACACGAAACATTTAACTGGAAAGCATCAATATTTTCATAAGTGTTGCGAAAATGAGTAACACTGGTAAAACAATAAAAAATACTAAGAGTTTGTTGTGAAAATGTCTTTTAAGTACTCTATGTTTTGATGTATGAAGGTGTTTAAACTATTGTTTAATATCAAAACATCATTTATTTGAACTCTCACATCTCTATCTTCAGAAATTACAAGCTGTTTAGTAGTTACTTGGTCTTTTAACTGTCTAAACGTTTTGATTATCTGTAACACGTAACTCATGGTTTATTTTGTCCATATAACAGCTTGGAAATTTCACTGGAAATCATTTTTTAATAAAGAACTAGACTGTATTGAAATTGAAGAGCTTACATGAAATTTGGGGTATATGAGCAGGGCCACTTCAGGGGTTATATATTTGACATTGAGTTCACTTATAAACCACTACCTCAAAAAAATTAATCAACTTGCGTTTATTTAATTGAACACTACATCGTTACTGAATATCTCTCAAATCATTATTTCTCTTCACCGATATCATTAATGAATTAAGACGACTGGCATATGTTATATATGGACATCTATTTGATATTATGTAAATAATCCCATAGAGAAAAACTCATAGTTCAAAATTATACTCTATTTCTTCTGGTTGTGTAGTTATTGAATCATTAAATCACTTAACTAAATCAGAATACAACATTAAACAAACTTAGTGTGGTTTTTTTAAGCAGTTTCGTACAGAAGACAGATTAGTTTCATTACCATTATGTACAAAGCAACAAGAATGTATTATATTCTACTTTCTTTGCCTGTTATCTTTCAGTATTTACGATACATTCTTGGTCCAGTAATCGACCAATTACTTGTTATTGGAGATGACTTCGAAATAGATCCTTCTAGATTAGGAGCTTCTAATGATTCATCTACTTCATCAAACAACCGAAATACATTATCTGCTATACTAGAAAGAAATCGTACTGCTTTACTAAAAAATGTTGCAATGATCTGGCGAAGAATTGAATCAAGTCAATGTAAACTACCGAAGTAAGTTCAAATAAATATTTATTCATTAGAAATAATGATTGGTAATAACTAATAATTGCTGAAAGCAAAAACATATCAAATGATAAGTATGTGATGAGAACCAACGTGTAGTAAAAAATTCACTACTATATATGGAAATTATTTAAGACCTTAATTCTTGACGTCTTTGGATTAAAACATGCTTATTAACAATAGATAATTACTTCACTAAATAAATTTGACCATACTCTTTTTCAAAAACAAGAAATAACCTTGCACACTGTTGTGAATGAGAATACAACCAGAGACAACCGTAGGTTGACTGTAGAAAGGTAGACAGAGTTTAGCTGCATTAAACGTTCTCTTCCTTGCTTAAGTGACTCTATCCCTTAGCACATCACGAACTATATCTCCATTGAATTGCAGCTTCAGGAAGAGGGGATCCTTACTGACCGTTGGTGTCGCTAATTTCTTGTTTATTACATGCAAGTGTCTCTTCAGGAAGCCTTGAGCATAACCCACTTCAATCAACATATTATGTATAAGCTCTAGCTTCTTGTTTATATTATCGTCTGAGCATATCTTCCTAGCTCTATTTGCAAGACATCTAACTAGTTTTCGCTTATAACGAATAGGTACAAAACCCAAGGAATATGTGCACTGACTTGCTGAAGAACTTTTCCTATAGACACCGCTACTGACAGAATCACTTTCTTTTCTTCCTAACAAAACGTCATGGAAATTTAGTTTATTACCAAGTTTCTCTTCACACGTAAATTTGATTGCTAAATGCATATTGTTAAATAGCTCTCAAAGTTCCTTTCCAATGTTCTTATCGGCGATAATGAAAGTATTATCAATATAACGGCAATAAATGTCAAGCTTATTAATAACCTCTTTGAGAGGTCCATTTTCTAGTTGCGCAAGAAAAAATCAGTAGGGATAAGATCTACAGATGAACCCATTTCTATTTCAACAATCTGTCTAGAATATGTGTTATTAAAGATAAGATGGATGTTCATTACTGTATATTAGAGCAAAGCCTAATGAGGATCTAATTAAATACGATATTGTCCGCTTATATATGTCGTTCTATTTATTATTACTCAATCTTATTTTGCATTAAACTTGTAAGACACTTTCATCATAAAACATGATTTAATTACATAGTTGCAACAGTATTTCAAATATTTCAGAATTTACATCATTCTATTTAGTTTACAGTTGTTCGACACAAAACGTGTTTCCAAGCGGCGTGGAAACGTATTTTTCATACTCACAATTCAGTTGCAGATTTACTTAACAGGACAATTGTTTAGTTAAACAGGGACAAAATGATCATTTGTAGTATCTGTTTAAATTTAAATGTCTTTTAAGATGTGAATAGATTGATGTAATATTAATCTGTCATATTAAGTGAGTACTTCTTTTCGGCATCATATAAAACCTGTGCTAATCTTAAGTAAAACACGTATAAGCGAACAATTGTTTTCAATTAGATCGTCATCTGGCTTTACTCTAGTATACATGAATATTTATACGAAAATGTTAAACCAATCAAGGCAATATGGGTCAATAATCACAATGAAATAGAATAAGTCTCTATACACAATAGGTAAAAATACATGTTGATAGTAGGAAGACAGGTGTACTGATAGTAGTAGGAATAATAAAATACGATAACAAAAGTCTTATCAATAGTTTAACGTTGTAGATAGGTCATATGTGGGTAAATAGACTTGGAATAGTCAACACAAAACATTAAAATCATTACGTAATAAGAAGTGTGTAAATAATTAGATAGTGAAGAATACAAAGAGGCGGAAAATTGCAAACAAATAATGGACGTGAAAATAAGGTTAACGGTAGCAAAAACAGAATAAAATAAATTAATAATAATAATGATAAAAATTAAAAAAGAAAATCGTTTGGTAAGTTACAACTGGTCATGGAAAGGGTAGGGGGGTTACGAACTTCTTCTGTACATATGAATTGGGGTTATATGTACGAATTCCTATAGCTTCAGCTATATGTAGGAGGCGGGAACGAACTCCGTTGGGAAATGATGAAGGTATACGATAGATCACTCGAAATGATTTCGATTTATCTACAGCATGACCGCTATCAATAAGATATGCCAAGATAGAACTGTGAATTGTTGTTATCTGGCCCTTTATAAACCAAGCTGGTAGATGTTCACTCATTCGTTGGTAGTACGCCCTATATAGCTATCTCCACAGGAGTAGCTGAATTCGTAAATGCACATTGAGGAGGCCAACTCAGGCAACTTATCCTTCGTTTGCGTAGACATTACTGGTCGACAAGAGAAAGTCAACTCTGCTTGTTCATGAAAATAATTCCCTGTAACAAGGACTGATAAATTATTTTTTCCAAATTTAAAGTAGTTTAAAGTACAATTTCAAATAATAATTGTCAATAATGAAAGTCAAATTTTCACTAATCCTCCATTACTAATAGAGATATTTGTTAGTTTTTAAATACCACTAACTTAATTAATCTGACATAATCCTAAAATGATTTGCTTAATTTTTTTTTCCTAAAAAAAAAGAGAATTACGTGATGTTTTCACTGTACTAGCATTAACAATTGAAGAAACACATGGAGTTCAATCAGCGGCACATTTAATTTCAAGTTGTTTATTTCTACGTTTTATTTGTCCAGCTATACATGGTCCAGTATTATTTGGTTTAACATCATCTATACCAGAAAATAATCGTATTTCTAGAAATTTAACATTAATTGCAAAAGTTTTACAAAATTTAGCTAATTTAACATTATTTGAAGATAAAGAAATTCATATGAAAGTATTAAATTCATTTATTGAACCAGAAATACCAATTATGTATAAATTTCTTCGATCAATTGCTTCAAATACCGATTCTAATTATCATTTATCAACTAATTCTGATTGTCATGAATTTATTGAATTAGGATATGAATTTGCAAAATTAACTCAATTACTTAATCTTTATATTAATAAAATTAATGTAAGTTCAATAGTGAATGAATTTTGTTTTTATAAATATCATGGTATTATGTTTTATATTTTTGTTACATAAAAAGAATGAACAGATCTATAATACTAAAAAAATATTCTAATTTTACTTAATTACTTATTCCTGTTACTCCCAATGGAGCATAGGTCTCTGGCCAGCATTCTCCAACCCACTCTGTCCTGGGCCTTCCTTTCCAGTTCTATCCAATTGTTGTCCAGTTTTCTCATGTCTGTCTCCATTTCTCGGCGCAATGTGTTCTTTGGTCTTCTTCTTTTCTTTTGACCTTGAGGATTTCATGTGAGCGCTTGCCTTGTGACACAGTTGGGTGCTTTCCTCAATGTGTGTCCTATCCACTTCCAGCGCTTCTTTCTTTGCTGGGATCTGGTTTGTTCTCTCCCATAGTAGGTTGTTGCTGATAGTGTCTGGCCAACAGATCCGAAGTATTTTACATAGACAGCTGTTAATAAACACTTGCATCTTCTGAATGATGACTTTAGTAGTTTTCCAAGTTTCCGCCCCATACAGTAGAACTGTTTTGACATTTGTATTGAAAGTTCAATCACAATGGCGTCGGTGTATACACTTTCTGTCTTCCCTTAAACTATGAGACTAAAATTATTTCATATCTTTCTTTCTACGAACTAATTCTTTTTTTCTATACCATATCCTTGCATAAAATATTTCCTTTATTTATTACACCATTGAGTTAACTGCTTCTATGAATTCGGTGTTCGTCTTGCTGTGCTAATGAGGTAAGGCAACTTGAACCGATGCGTCTATGCGCCTGGTCCTACGTTGCAACTGACTGACTGATTGAAAAACCTGACCTTGGTGTTGGTTGACAGTTGTTTTGAATTCCAGATTTTCTTCAGTTGTAGATATGCTGCTCTTGCTTTACCGATCTGCGCCTTCACATCTGCATCAGATCCATTTTTAATTTTTCTAACTCGCTAAAAAGCGCTAACCAGAAAAAATTATTCAAACCACTTAATTATTCTAATTTTACAGATAAAAAACTTATATTTCTTATTTAACTAATATAAGAAGTTATGATCTCTCAAATAAATAGAATGGTACTGGAAGAGTTTTAAGTAGATTTTTCCTAGCGATCTAATAATGATCTGAAAAATAAACATTCAACACCGCTATCGATAAAGATTTTGTAAGAGTTGGACTATATGAATTTTTAAAGTTTAATAAAAGCCTTTGATATTATAAGATTTTAGTGAGTAGCTGTAAAGGTAAAATCAGTCAACCCAGATATGAGAATAGATCATACAACAACAACAACAACAGAAACTGTATAAAAAAGGAGATGCGAACCAACGAATTCTGATCAAAATCCCGAATAATAACCGTTAACCATGAATTCAGTAGATCTTGGGTATGAAGCATTCACTGATGAAAAATTCAAAATAAGGTAAAATCTCTATTTGTTGATATCAGCATTTCAAAACCATTCTAACTAATGGCAGTTATCAAATATAACTTATTTCAATGTTCATTTGGCAGATTTTCGAAAAATCTATTTTTTAATCCATTTACAAATTCATGTTTTAGATTACACCACAAATTGCTGAATTACCAGACCTACTACAGAATATTTCAGAGTTATTAAATAATCAAACCTTTACATCATGGAATCATAAAAGTCAGACCAGTTTTGAAAGAAACACAAATAGTAATTCACATTCTTCTAGAAGTGGAATACCAAGACATCATAGTCTCTCAAACAATAATCCTATTTCGGGTGTCGATAACAGAAGGCAATCAGAAGCGACTACCATCATAAAAACCATCAGTAAGTGATTAGATGAAGTTTTATTTTAGCATGTTAAGAAACAACATGTTTTTTAAATATACTAAGTAATTATTAATATAGGGTGCTGTAAAGAATATTGAAATTGAAGTTTCAAATCAAGAACCGGCTTCATCAAATAACTACTAGAAACCAGGAAGCATCGGACAGCCTTTTCGTTTTGATGTGAGAATCTCCAAAAATATCCATCCAGAATCCTACCAGGACTCAAATCCAGGATCTTCAGTTTTCGTAACAAGTGACTGAAATGCAGACATTCAAGTTGGTACCCGAAGGTTTACATTTCTAACCTCAGTTATCTCTTGGTATTGCGTGATCATCATTCCTTGCTATTGGTGAGATTTATCTCACGGCCGACATGGTCGAACTCCACCAGTCGTGCAACATAAAAACATTGACTGAAGTTAGAAATGTAAACCGTTAGGTCTCAACTCAACTGTCTAGAGATTGATCTACTTCTGCAAGGCTTGAGGGGCCTGAATGCTATCCCCTACTGCATTGTGAATGCACGTTGTTAAGGAATCTCATTCAAGACCGAAACAACTTATTGGTTTTCACTGGTTATCTAACAAGATCAGTCTTTCATATGAAACTTCGAATTCAATAGTTACTTTATTTTAACCAGTTCAAATGATACGGGAATATACTATACCGTAGGCTGAAATCGCTGAGAATAAAGTACAAGCTGAGTGATTTAAACGTAGTTTTACTGTCTTGATTTTTGAAGGTCATACACTAGACATTATAAACAAACGTATTTTTAATGTATCACTATTTGTCAAAAAGAATTTTAAACAACAGTTAACAAGGAAAGTACTTGAAAATAACTAAATAATAATGAATATCTTATTATGTAGAAGTCATTGTTAATTATTTATTATTATCATCAGCTTTATTCAATGTTATACTTTTGGTACAATATAGAATTCTCAGCGTAAAGTATTTCAACAACTTTCCGTTTCTTTCTTCTTGGTCGGTCCTGGCGATAAATACTGAGTGATCGCCAGTTAGATGTTAGCAGTTCACTAAATGAACATCTGAATAATGTGCATTCTTTCCGTTGTATATTGCCAGCAACCACATTGTCTCTTATTGAGTTTTTTGTAACTTTGACAACGAAAGGTTGTACACTTTTCAGAAACGCAGCAGAATAGGTATGCGATTAATAAACATAGTGATATATTAAAACAAACAAAAATAGATAACTTGTTGAAATATCTAGATGGCAGGAACAGGTAGCCCAGATGATCAAGCAGGCCGCCCTTGCCATCGACAGTCATTAAAAGTGAATACAGGTAATTTACTAATCCTAGAAGTAAAATTTAATATATCAAATTATGATTAAATTTCATTTAAAACGCTAATTACAAATTTCTACATGATTAACATCTAATAGAGATTAAATTTTATTCTAATTAGAATCCTCAATACAGTTACTAATTGATTCACATCTTTATGACTAACTTATAATAAATGAAAAGAAAAAAAACAAGTTATTAAATTAAAATCTCACAGGTTGAAATCATGAGTCAATTGAAGCTAGACCAATATGGAAAACCTGGAAATACTGGATGGCCGTTTCGTCCTAGTATGGGACTCCTTAGCAGTGCGTATCCACTATCCCGAACCCCGCGGGATTCGAACCTAGGACCTACTGGCTTCGCGCGCGAGCACTTAATCACTAGACCACTGAGCCGGCATCCAACGGTGTTAATGTCCAGTGCTTCCAGGTTTTCCATGGTGGTCTAGCTTCAATTGACTAATGATTTCAACCTGTGAAATTTCTAAAAATCTCCACAAAACCCATTCTGATAAATTAATTATGGTTTATTGATAACATAACTTATCTAATAAATAGATTTGGAAAACTTGATAACATTCAAAGAGATGATAAATATCAGTGATTTCAAGAAAGATCCATTGATTAAAACTAATGAATTGCTTATTCTACGTAAAAGGTCAAATGTTTAAACTTTACAGGAATGATGCATAATATGATAATACTGATTAATTCTAAATTAACATTACCATAAGATTAATTTTATTTACGTTTTTACGACGTATATATGTTAAAGAATAAGAAATGAACTTCAAAAAGTTAATTAAGATCTCATTACTTAGAAAAAAACTGAGCATATGATTACATAAAATTCAAACAATACATTGTTTAACCATGTAAAATTCTAAACGTAATGCATGCCATTTTGTTTTTGTTTTTTTATAACATTAATAGCTGACTAAGTTACACGTAGACAGAAAACTATCACCGGAAGCACCTATAAATGTAAAACCAATACATAATCAACAAGAACCTAATAATAATGCTACTTCAAATAGTTCAGCTAATAGTAATGAATTTATTTCAAATACAAAACAAGAAAAATCGTGGGATACATTTATTATAAAAAAAGAATATTTACCATGTAAATTTAATTCTGCCGATATGATATTTAAACAAATACACATAAATGACCTTGAACAGTCAGAAAACATGGAGGAGTTATTAAGTCAATATCGTGAACAATTACGTCAGTTAAATGATTGTATTGAAAAAGTTGAACCGAATTGTTGTCATCACCCAAATTTATCTCATGCTTTAAGTCATTCTACACAATCTGTACATAGAATTAGAAACCCTTCAATAGAATTCCTAATAATAATGCCAATATCAATGGAAATAATAACCATATAAACAACGGAAGATCTGATAGAAATTTATCAAGACAAAGTACTGATGAGAATAGTTATCGTCAAGTAAAACGAAAAATAATAAATTCAAAATCCGATAATTCAACACCTATACCGTTAGATCGTGTGTTGAAAAAAGCGCAGTGTCCATATCAAAATTCAGACAAAACGAATAATAATTCAATAAGTAAAGATGATGATGATGATGATGATGATGACGATGGAGATGAAGATGACGATAATTATACCAGTGAGTGTGCTATTGGTAGAACATTAGTTCCTACTCATTCTGCATCTATAACTATTGATCGTTCAAGTACAAGCGATAGTGATTATGACTATGACGATTGTGATGATAAAATCACAGAATGTACTACTGAAGATACAAGTGAATACACAAAGAAAACAACCACAAAAAATAACAAACCAAGAAGAATTTCCGCAAGACAAAATCATTTGTCTGAATCTCCAAGTCTGGATCAATTAGCTGAAAAGTGAGTAGATTATTTTAGTCCCAATTCTAAGAAAAAAACTAATATAAAATACATTTGCCGAAAGATATCGAAATTTTAGGTGAGTTTTCTTGTTACTAATCCTCACCATGAAACAGATCTCGGTGGAACCCATATCATATCCATTAGAACTGTAGTGAAAAACTCCATTGTTTTGGGAGAAGTTACTTATCATACTGTATTTATATGTTATGGATATATTATGCATCGATACATATATTAAACAACTAAGATAATTATGTGGTAATAACTAGACAGGTCGGTTATTATTTGTAGTACGGGTATCAGAACGAAAGTACTCTAATAATATTCAGCGTTTAAATGTACTTATGGTATGAGAAATAAACAATCTCGGTGATGATCAATTGATTTCCCAGTGTTTTTAGTAACTGTAGGAATCATGCTAAGAAAACCCTTTAAGTTAACCTATTTACTAGCATATCCATGCTTTAGTATACATGTATTTGGCATTGAATATTCTGTTAGAGAATTTAGACTCTTTATGCAAGTTGATAGCTAATATAAATTGCTGTAACAACATTCTTCGAATTATGCTTGAAGAAATTTAATTTTCTTATGATTATAAATATCAATTAATCACTCGATAAGATGATTATAATACCACTGAAAGTCCTTGAATATTAGCTGTATTCGCGTAACATTATCAGTTGTCCTGACTTTGATCACACGATAATTGTTCTCGTTTGTAACGCTATAGTGAATGGGAACACCAGTGGAGACAATCAAATGTATTTGAATACAAAATTACAGAATATCTTAGTAAAATCTCAGAATCATACAGTAAATAATTCATTAGCAAAAACGTCAGTCAATGGTCTCAGACTTGATTGTTTCTTCATTGCCACATCAATCACTATCTGTTCTCGTTCTCTTCTATTCGATCTTCTCAACCTTCTGCCATAAGACTGATCTTAACTCGGCTTTTTTGGTGTTGTATAAAAGTGTAAAAGGGCGTATACTAAGGTTTATTGAAGCCTTAGTCGTACGAAAATTCAAACTCCCTTTGTGTATTCAGAAAGAGTTTGTTCTCACCTTAAACCTACCCTGGTAACATTGGCTTATTATCCAGAGTGATTAGGTTTCAAATTGTGTTCACATTATTATTATTACTCTTATCATTATCCTTATCTCCTCTTACCCCGTTTCCAGTCTAGTTGACCTTTTATTTTTATATATAAATATTCTTAACAAGTATATGTGTGACCAGATTGTTCGAAATGTATTGCGCAAATATATCACATAGTCCTGATAATCTTCGTCTTCTTATTACACTATCAAAATTTATCAAACGGACTAATTGCTTTAATAAAATATAATTTCGTACTGTATCGATTTTCTTAAAATATATTTTCTTTTTGTTCTCAAGTATACACATACATCAACCAGCATGATAATGAAGCATAAATTACACTTGAAATACTATGGTAACAACCATTAAAACAACGAACATTGTAATTATAGATAAAATATCTAGAAATAGTTATTGAATTTAAAGAAATATCTGTTTAATGAGAAAAATCATCTGATATACATGTATATAGTTTGAATACTATTAGTTTTAACATGTAGTTATGGGGCTAGTAATCAATTATCGTCTAAGCTAAGTAACATTTAAGCTGTAACATATCTACGTTGTGTTTTTTTGTTGTTGAAAAAATCCCAAAAAAATAAAATTTACTCATGACATGATTTAAAACTGAATATTTAATTTGCCTTAACAACAAAAAATCTCAATGATGTTATATAAGAGAATTGAATTAGATTTAAAGTTATTTTCACTTTAAAGTATGGGTTTGGAAGGTACTAAAATCAACGAGCAATAATTAGCTATCTTTAAATAATTCGCAACCTTTTTAATACTAAATTAGGTAACAAATCAGTACATCAAGAAGGATTCAGTGATTTTCTCATAGAAATATCGATCTAGGGAGACTATCAAGTTGTAAGTCAGGCTGAATGTTTACCGGTAGCGTTATTCTATAATTGTACTAAGTAGTGAATCGAAAGTTGACAATCGATTTCAACTTAATAACTGATCAGTAGTGTGTATATTTGAAAGCCTAAAAGTCCAATATATCATGCAGTGAAATTTGAAAATACAAAAAAAACAGTTATACAGTTCAACATAGTTGTCCGTCTATAGTGAAAGTCGTCTAATTTGATTTATTTTAAGGTTATCAATAAAGTTACAAATTAGTCATCTGACCAACACACTAATTTTATTTATTACAAAATCTTATCTTAAGACGTATATAATACATAACATTAGAAGTTTGTGCTGATGATGTCGTTCAGAAGAACGATGAAAGCTCCACGACCAAACCATCCAGCTCAGAGAACAAAACTTCATCAAGATATATAACATTACCTAAATTGTTGCATTACCTACATTTTAAAATGTCATACAATTCAATCTACTTTCTATAAAATCATAATCTGAACAAATGGTAACGTAATAACTAGACTTTTATAGATACATTATTTTTGTACTATTACTGTCTACATTTATTTGTCGATTAATTCTATTTCTTGTCATTTATGTTGAAATGTTATGTTTTTTTTTAAAAATAGATTACAAGAATTGAAAAAAATGCTTCAATTAGAACGTCAAGAAATTGAAGAAGTAGTAGCATCTAAAACAGAAGTGATAAAACAACAAGAAAAATCTATTGAACAATTAGAATCGGAACTTGATCAATTACGCAAAGAGCATAGACCATTAAAAATGAAACCATCGAATGGTAGACATACAAGTAAATCAACTTCACGTACAGTCAGTCCAACTTCATCACTTTCATCTGAATGTTATTCGTCTAATTTATCTGATACAACTCAAAATTGTCACAGTTATAATAATCCTTTTTATCATAACGATATACATAACAATAAAAATCATAATAATACTAACAATAATAATCACTTTTTCGATCCATCAATTACAAATTATCACAGTAATAATCAAGGTTTAAATAATCTTAGTAGAGGTGAACCAGTCAATCCAGAGAATTATCGTACTGAAAATTTTCAAGAAAAATTATTATGGAGAGGACAAATGAGTCGATGTGAACCACAAGTTAGATGTGATTCTAACCTACTTTATTTGTCAAGGGCTAGTGAAGGAACGGGAATTCCATTAGGACATTTAATTGGAGCAAATCGTTCGTTACATATTGGACGTCGTGAATCAGAAACTAAACTTTTGCCACATTAACACTATACTCATAAGTTAATATCTATTATTATAATAGGATATTTTCATAAACTCTTTTGACAATAATAATTATCTTTTAATAGTTCAACAAGAACTACTCATACATAAACTATTGATGACATATTTTCATCCTTGAAATACATAACACCTAAGCCGAAATCATTGGTACATTGAATACAAGAAGTGAACTAATGATATATGAACATATTCATTAAATGCTAGACTAGGTATAAGCTGTGACACTGTGAATACATTACTATATATATATATATATATATATATATATATATATATAATACTTGTGTAAACACCCCAGGATCCCAGTGACTTATTTAAACGAAAACAATCTATACAAGAAAACTAAATAGTTTGCATTTCTGTCAACTGCTTTTCTTTCTTTTGTTTTTAGTCTTTCTAATTGTAGCAGACTGGAAAAATGTAAAATCCATACAGAGATAAAGAAAAAAAAATAACAAAATCAAAATATTGATAAAGAGTTATGTGTTTCTGTTTTGTTTCAAATTTCATTTTATCACTATTCTTACTCCTTTTGTATCCATTTTTAATTCTTGTCTTATTATTAATAATATTATATTACTTCCCTTTCTTAAAAAGAAACACGTTTATTATACTTCTTAATGGCATTCAACGACAGTAGTTTTTTCCATAATAAATATGTTCAATCAGTAGAACCAGACGAAACTGGATGTACATACATTTATAGTTAGATATATCAATATTGACATAACTATATACATACATATACATATATACATTAATATAATCTATATTTCAGGTTATTAATACAAATGTCTCATTTTAATAATGCATAAGAAAAACTGGAAGATTTTTGAGAATTATATATTACCTTAATGACTTTGACTTTTTTTATTCTCAAAGTGTATTTGTATTTAACACCGAAGAACTAGGAATACTATTAGTTGATTTATGAGCATATTCTATTTGAATGAAGATTTACTGAAATTTTAATCAAAACTAAATAATGATTATGATAAACTAGTAATAATTTATTATGACTTTAAGCAGAATATTGAAACATTCCTACATGAACAACTAGAACAAGGGAACTTAAAGATACATACTACAAAGAAAGGAATTATATTCATGGTCATTTATAATGAAGTAATCCTGATGTACTCATACCGATTTCGTTGAACCATTTCACTGGACTTATGTGAAGATGCTTATTTTAATATCAAGAGAAAGTTCGACCACCGAGTCAATATAATGATAATTGGAAAAACTGTTATACAATCATTATACATGAAGCAATAACCAATTCCATAGCTACCCTGCTCCAGAACTTTATATCTTGTTAAACCACGGATGGCAAAAGGCAAAAACTCACCTATGACTACAAAGAAATATTTTAGGGGGAAATATCACATTTACTTAACAGAGACTACTAGTTACATTTTGATGTAAATGACTATGAAATAATCAGTAATTGAAGGGAAAGACTAATTTATTTAGTCTCAGATAGCTGATAGTGTAACATTTATTACTTCAGTGTGAAGTGGCCTGTAAGATAGATATCAATAATAACAGTAATAAATAACATGACTATTTAAAAAAAGTTGAATCTAATTTATAATATAATTGATTACATTGATTGGAAAGTGGAGATTGTATACAAATTTCCTAATTATAATATTTCAATTGTATTAGTTAAACAGTAACAAGGCATTGTTTATTAAACACTCTGACTTTCTTTAATGAATTTTTACATAGTTAATTCTAACACATCAAAATTAATCAACATTAATTAAAAGTATGTAAACAGATTGAAACAGAAGTAAAAATATATAAATAACTTGATTCTAAATCTGATTTTATACGTGAATTATTACAGAAGAGAGTGTTCGTGTAAAATATCGGAAGTACATAAAGTAACCAATTTACTATGATTGATTTTATCACTACTGGAAACATGATACATTGGAAGAGTGAAATAACTTACTAGAAGAAATTAATACTGAGTTACCACGGTAGGAAACTTCATAAACTGATAGGGAAGTGATAATTTTTATAATTAATGAGACCGCAATTTTCCTTATGAGAATTTATACAAAACTGAACAACAAATATATAAAAGCAAATACGATTTATGATGAAAATGAGAAATCTTAAGTAATTCAGTGAGTAGGAGAAAGAATTTTAGATGCTTCTCTGACAAAGACGAAATTTTAAAAGAGGTCGCAAAAAGCACACCATTTTAGACTCTGTGCTATAAGATAACCAGAAATCAGTCAGTCAATAACAAAGTAAAACTTCGTACATACGTACATCAGTTAGAGTTGCCACACCACGTTAGTCCACAAATATAATTGTCGATTCAAATCCCGTAGTGGTAGAGGTTGTAAGAGTATAAGCAGTAATCGGAAAGATTAGGGTTTGAAGATATTATTCAAGGAGTATAATACAGTGAAATAAATTTGGGTAGAGAAAAAAAGCACATGAAGAGTTCAGAAGATTAGAATTTGGGAGAACACAAAGAGTGGATACACCTGCGCCATTGCAAACGATTTTGAGCCATGTCATTCAGGGTCTCTAACCATCAGCTGCCATCATCTCGTGGTCCCCAACCACGTATTCTATAACCTACCAACATGACTCAGTCCACTTGTCACTGACTTCATGGACTTGTGCCATGTTTTGGTCTGACCACCCCTACCTTTCTTCCAACCTACTCCTATACCACTGAACATCGCACGTTGAGGCAGTCGGTGGTCGGACATACGTAACACATGTCACACCCATCTCAACTGATGAAGTTTCACTAATTCATCAGTTGATTTGCCATCCTTACCTAGTAACCGTTTCCTAACAACTGCATTACTTATTCGATGGTCCCAGGATATGCGAGCAATATTTCGAAGACACCGATGATCAAATACTAGTAACCTACGGATATCCTCTACTCTTACCGGCCATGTTTCACTGCCATAAAGTAGGACGGAACGAACTGCTGCACAGTAAACCCGTCCTTTGCTTGGTAAACGGATATCTCGTCTACGCCATAAATGACACGAGTTGGCGAAAGTTAATCGAGTCTTCTGTATCCGTGCTAAAATTTCGTCACACATCAGATTGAATCTACTACTTTAGAAACTATATTTGTTAAACCGATTCCTCTGTGATTGTCACAAGAGGACTTTTGTCCTTTCTTATAGACTGGCACTATCAGAGATTGAAACCAGTCAGATAGGATTACGTACAGTTCCCAAATTCTACCTAAGACCACAGTTAATCTCACTGCTAATACTGGACCACCATCCTTAAAAATCTCAGGAGTAAACATGTCACGGCCTGCTGATTTCCCTCGCTTCAGATTTCCCATAGCTTTTTCAACTTCGTGAAGAGTCAGAGAACCTACATTAACTTGCCATTCACGTTGACTGGAGATCGTGGAAAACTGTAGTGTGGCTGAAGGCCAGTGGAACTGATCCCTAAAGTGTTCTGCCCATCGATCCAGTTTCCTGGATTGAGAATGAATAATATGTCCATCTTTCTCTGAGATAGTTTCGCTAACAGTCATGTTTCTAATACCGGTTTCCTTAATGAGTCTGAAAAATTGTCTGCTATTACCTATTGCCGCTACCTTTTCCATCTCTCTTGCTTTCGCTACCCACCACTGTTCGCGATCATTGCGTAGGCTTCTTGTCAGCTTGCGCTTATGCTGACTCTGCTCTTCATTATGTTCAGAGCCAGATGGAATGAGTTTTCGAGCATTTATCAATGCGGTAGATGCTGCTGAGATCCAGTGTTGCTCCCTAACCTTATGGTTTACCTTACTAGCAGATATCACTGCCGTTTCCACAGCTTTTCGGATGTCATTCCACTCTGCCTCGGGATGGGCATCACATACATGGTTGCCTAACTGTTTTTCTAGTTTGTATGTATCATTACTAAGGTTTGATTTGATTACTTCGAATTAATTGAACATTGGGTAGATTGTCATAAATAAATAATATATTTGTTTTTCTAGTTGTTCCTCAAATATACTCTTCGCTTGACTATTATCAAGTAAGGCCTAAGAGGTTTCCTTACGGCGTCTTTCCTACGTCCAGTAACAAGTAGACAAATACGCGCCCGCACTAGAATATGTGCTCCAGAACGAGCGACAGTCTTCTATCGAGCCCCTCTATCAGTGGCTAATAGCGATGTGATTTAGTTGGGACGAATTCGGGAGTCGCCATGTTCAAAGATGTTTTTCCTTATGCTTAAAATTAGTATTTGCAAGAAACAGGCGGTTATCCTAACATAGCTGCAACAGACGGTCGCCGTTATCTGTTCTTTGAGCCACGACGTTATTAGATCCGCCCAGGTGTCTTTCCCTTTCGTTTAGTTTACCTATTTGAGCATTAAAGTCACCAACCACTATTACTACGTCAGAGCACCTAATTTTTCGGAGAAGGTCGGAAAGCTTTCTATAAAACTCATCTTTTACATCAACTGATCTGCAGTCAGTGGGAAGGGTATTTCTTGAAGAACTTGAAAAGGAAGTCGGATTAATGTTGTCCTTAACGACCTGGGAGCGTGACCGCAGAGCCCAAGGGACAACTGCTTGAGGCCGGTCGCGCACGGCCTTTTCGTGGGAGGTTTTTAATGTGTTAGCTCCGTTCTTCAAAAAGCCTTACCGCCGGAGAAGGAAATCCGTGAGGTGTGACATTTTTAGGGTCAACCTTTTCCAACTCCTTCCTTCTTTGTGAGAAGGAAGCATCGCTGCAGATGCTGGTTTTCCGAGGGAAAAACCTTACTGCTGTCACACCCCTCTACAGTCAGCAGTACGACTTCACTTTGAGTTGCTACTTTTAATCTTAGCGTTCTCCAATCGACCTGCCTGGAATGGTAGAACCTACAGGAACATATGTTCCAGCCAATATAGCTTGGTTGGGTCATGACGATAGGCAATCCCGACCACCGCGTCAAGGTAGCAGCTACGGTCGGAAACAAATATATTGTAACAATAAATTTTATCTACCAAAACTATTAACTGTCAGCATATTCATATAAATTTACTAGTCATATATTTCCTGAGGATAAAATGATATCACATGAACCTATTTGACATCTGGACATAAATAAAAAAACCTAAGTTGTTTACTGATTTATTGAAGTTGAACAATTGTAACCAGATAACTGGTTAACAGCGAGCTTAGTAATGAGAGGCGCTCAATTCCTAATCTCTTCAAGCACAAGAAGGTAGTGTATGATTAATAATCATGGAATTCACTGAGCAAATGCTATACGACTATCTTTCCACAAATTCTTAAAACCAAAATGCAGTACCATTTA